ATAGGTGGCCTGATCTACCCCATTGGGATGCCATTCTTCCCGTCTAGCGGGCAGGCCCCAGAGCCCCATACTGTTGGATATGTGAGGGAGTGCCCGACAGCTGGGCACCTCCTCATGCCCTGACCTGCCACCCCCTGCCCATGTCTCCTGTGTCTGCAGTGGGTGAATGGGGTCAACACGCTAGAGCATGAGGGGGGCTACCTGCCCTTTGAAGCCGACATCAGCAACCTGGTCCAGGTGGGGCCCCTGTCCTCCCAGCTCCGCATCACTATCGCCATCAACAACACACTCAGCCCCACCACCCTGCCACCAGGGACCATCCAATACCTGACCGACACCTCCAAGTGGGTACCATCCTGCTTCCACTACACGCACCCACCTTCCCGCCCCACCCCGTGGTCTTCCTGCTAGGGACAGGGTGGCCTTTGCAGAGTGGAGGCCCTGGATCTGGGGAGGCTGGGAAGGCATGTGAGCTGAGGTCAAGGGACCCAGGGCAAGGGCCCAGCGAACCACAGTCCTCCCACCCTAGGTATCCCAAGGGTTACTTTGTCCAGAATACATACTTTGACTTCTTCAACTATGCGGGACTGCAGCGGTCTGTGCTTCTGTACACGACACCCACCGCCTACATCGATGACATCACCGTCACCACCGGCGTGGAGCACGACAGTGGTGAGGGCTTCTGGTAGGATCCTTCCTCAGCGGGGCCCAGGGTAGCTCTGTTTGTTCCCTGTTTGGAAAGCTCTCCCAGGAAAAAGGTGCTCCCAGCATCTCTAAACCCTCACAGGTTCCCATCCACCTACAAAGCTAAATTCCAGGCTGTCTGAGTGGGCACGGGCTCCCGAAATCACCCGTGTGGTTGACCTCCCTTGGAGAAGAGGGGTCTGGCCTAACGTCACACAGCTCAGGGTGGCAGTCGTGTCCCTTCGCCACTGTGCTGCTCTCACTCCAGCTCCCCTTGCTACAGGTCATGCTCAAGGAACAGGCAGCTTCGGGGGGCCGGGCACGATGGCTCATACCTGTCATCCAGCACTTTGCAAGAAGGCCCTGGTAGGAGGATCTCTTGAGGCCAGTAGTTCAAGACCAGCCTGGGCAACGCAGCAAGGCCATCACCACAAAAACTTAAAAAATTAGCCAGGCATGGTGATGCATACCGGTAGTCCCAGCTGCTGAGGCAGGAGAATCACTTCAGCCTGGGCGGTCAAGGGTGCAGTGAGCTATGACTGTGCCA